ATTAATTTTATCATATTCAACGTAGTCTTTTACTCTTTTACTTAAACATTAACATTTTAGTAGTTATCACGCAGTGTGATTCGATATCTACTATTTATTTCACACAAGTGCGAATTAAATAATACGGTATAGGTTTGTTGCGTATGTACCTGGTTAAGTATATACAGGTGTTGCGAGTAGTGATATGCGCACCACACGTTCATGTTTAAAGTGATTTTGTCAAAATTATTTATTTAAATTAAATTTGTGTTTGTATTAAATTCATAGATAACATGTGGATGTCAAAGGTTTAAGCTGTTGTGAAAGTCTATTTTCAGTACTTGTGTATTTGTAATCATTGTTTTGTGACCCAATCATTTGGTTGATTAATAAACAATTCTTCACAATTTAACAATGGGACACGAATTTAACGTTGGCTCTTGTGATGTCTTTGTGATCATGTATCAAAATACACCATCCTTTATCTGCAAAAGCATATCGTATTATACCGGTATAACTAACAACACACCAGGATATGAATTTAAAGAGTAATATAATGCATTGAGGTTGCCTCGTATGATTTCCTCTCTGTTAGATTCGCAGAATATATGTAGATGTTTAAATGTGTAGTTGTAATCACCAGTCATTTGTATGGGTAACCAAACGATTTATTGTAAATAGTCAGATAGGAACCAAATATCTTCGACAGGATCTTGGTGTTTATGTTTATAAAGTATAAATGACGTGAAAACTTTGATCCAAATACACGGATTCGAGTTTCATAGATATATTAATTATTAATTGTTACAAAGGTAATGATATTAAGATGTACAATTACGGCAATTGTTTCATTTTTCTAACCTTAGAAGTTGTGTTAGTTTTGCATTGAAGTAAGGACCAACGATCATGGAATTCATTAGGGGCCAAACACTATTGTACAAATGGACGTTCACAAAAAAGAATATATCAGAGAAAAAATATTTAAAAAGTGTTAAAACAAACGAATCAGTCATAAAATATCTCATTTCATATTCTAAAAATCAAACGTGTAACAAATGAGGGAAGGTTATTCGAAAGTTCAAGCATATATCTAATTAACACGGAACGCCAATAGTAATAACAAAGGAAGACAACGACTCGTGGCCTCTTCCTGACATGCTCTGCTACAAGAATGGTCTTTAATCTAAATGTTTTGAAATGGAAAGGGCTATAACTTTTACTTAATAATGCATTTGCTAATATAGTTAACACACCTTTTAAAAGTGATCACTGTACACTCTTTATTGTGTTTAATTATTTGTTTCAGAAATGGATTTTTTTTTTATCATACTCACCACGTTTCTCATTATTCAAGCTTCGCAGGTAAGATGGCTTTGCATGATGTTCTTCTTTTTCATTTAGTGTCACCTCAGTTGTTGATGTAGTTGTTTAGTACAGACTTTTAGCACTACCCCTAAACAAGTTGCCATTGGGTGTACATTTTCTTCGATTTTTACATATTATATTCAGTGCATCGACAAATGCAGTCGTTCTTTTTAATGTGATTGTTAAATTGTTTTTCTTGATAAACAGAACCCTTTATCTTGTTTCAGGATATATATTTCTCGCACGCTGACAGAGATATTCTATGCCATACCCCATGCTAGATTTTGCTATCTCGTCTGATCTGTCTGGTATCTTTACGTGACATATTGCGGAATATTTACACTGTGATGTAGTCATTCGCGCGTTAACGACTCTAATTGACAATCTACATTATAAATCTCTGTTTAATCGTTATATGTATTGTTTTGATGTTGTTAGATATCTGATGTTGTAGATGAAATATAATCTACACTGTGTTATACGTTGTTCTCCTTGTAGGATAGCATTCAAATGTAGATTTAGTCGTGTAGAGGCCATTTTTAATGAGACCCCAGACGGTATACGTGTAGTCTTTGGCAAAATTGAACTGGTTTTTTTTTTAACTAAAAGGTCCGACAAAAATCAATTTTCTGCAAGTGAGCGAGATCGGGTTATCTCAGACTCGGGCCAAGATTCTGTAGCATAATTCCAACAGAGGCGTAAGTCGAGGGTGGGATTATGTTACAGAATATTAGCCGACGACTGAGATAACCCGATCTCGCTCACTTACAGGTTAAACAAAAATGTTTATCTAATTTATTGAAAAATGGTTTCTCACCAACGTTTGAAATATACAACTATTCGTAATAAAAGTTATTCTACAAAAAACAGATCTTCGTAATCAATTGTATTAGTTATTTAGCTCTACATGAGTATTTGAAATTGAAACAAGCTGATTCGTATCTAATTATTTAAATATAAAATAATACATAAACAGACCAAACATGAACTTTCGGTTTTGATTTCAGTCCTTAACAATTGAATGAAAATGAAGTCTTAACAAAAAAGGAAAAACAATTACTTTTGTTCTTTTTTTTCTATGTAGGCCACGTGCACAGAACTTCGCCCTTACATCACAAAAGGGAACCTTACATGTTTTGCATGTCCACCAGGGTTTTACCTCTATGGACATTGCACCACAAATAACACCATAGCAGTCTGTAGGGTGTGTCCACAGGGTTATTACTCTGGTGTCTCCGGTGTCCATACCAGGTGTGAAAGATGTTCACCATACTGTGAGTCAGATAATCTTATAGAGGTGTCTAACTGCTCGTCAACAACCAACTTAACATGTGACTGTCCACCAGGAAAGGTACTGAAGGATCCACACGACAAACACCGTGCTATATGTGAGTATCCACCAACACATGAACCTCCGAAAACCACACAGAATTGTAAGTTACTCTCTAATGTGTTCTTTAATGTTTAATATTCCTTCATATCAGACCTACTTAGTCAGATCTTCTAAACATATAGAGGGATTTCTAATGGTTCATCTTAGAAGTCATGTTCTTACCGTGAAAATTGTTCTTCACAAGAACATATTTAGTAAGTTTGTTAATTACTATTCACAATGATATCAAGTGGGCTATATATTCCGACCTAGTATACCTATCATCTTTAACCGGTTAATCAGATCCATCATTATTTTACTTGCCTATCCAATGGACCAGCTTTTTTTTTCTTACACAGAACGGTATCTATCGTCATCTTATTCTTTGAACGACTCTTCTAAATATCAATGTATTGACTGTTTATAATGTGCAACGTTTGAACAAGGGAGTTTACAATTAGTTGTAAAATAAAGGTAAGTCGGTTTAGAGGGTTAATTTGGCTTTTACTTATAGCTCAGAGATATGGGTCCAGTAGCCGAGTAGAAAGTGATTAAGTCAAAGGTTTAAAGCTTCCCTGATGAGGTATCTTTCATGCATCAGAAGAGTTAGATATAAATAGGTTTGTGGTCATTTTTAGGGACTGGTGTATTAATAGGTCATTACTGGGGTAAAAGGGAAGGGCCTGCACATCTAATGAGTGGTCAGTTGCTGGTATTTATAGATTTCCTCGTTATACATCATGATGTATTATTAGACACGATCCCTGTATTTAGTACTAGGTGACTTCAATACTTTGTATTTAACAGTAACTCTATCTTTAGTTTATCTGGTTTCTTGTTATATTTAGTAAATGATGTCATTACCTAGGTTTAGTATGGCTTTGAGAATATTAAATATATGATGTCATCGGCTGACTTAAGTATGGCTTGAGTATATTTAGTATATGATGTCATCGGCTAAGTTTAGTATGGCTTTGAGTATATTTAGTGTATGATGCCATCGGCTAAGTTTAGTATGGCTTTGAGTATATTTAGTATATGATGTCATAAGCTAACTTTAGTATAGCTTTGAGTATATTAAGTATGTGATGTCAGTATCTTAAATTAGTTATACCTATATACAAAGGGTTGTTAGGGAGTTCAACAGGAAGTTTTGGGGGAGATTGAGAGCTACGAGGAGTCTTGAGAGAATTCTACGGAGAGGATTAATGATGACTCGGTAGTATTCTGTAGACATGTGAGGAGTCTAGTAGAGTGGTTTGTAGTGTGAAGAGTAGTTAGTTGAATTAGTCGAAGTAGTGACAATTTTAGGTTACTTTATTCACTTGAACTTGTGGCAAGTACTTTGATTTGATTCCTGTTAATAAAACTTTAGTTTATTTTATGAAAACTTGCATGTTGTGTTTTTATCAGTTGCATCTGTCAGACAGACTGAACGACTGGACTATCATTAAACATAAAGAAATTAACAATTACATTACCAGCAAGATGGTGTCAGAAATGGAAACGTAACAAATTGGTTGTCATGTCAGAAGTGGGAGGTCTAAAAACGTAACATTTATATAAATCAATAATTTCCTTTCTAATTTACATTTTTATAAGACATTTACAACTCTCCTTATTTTAGTACACTTACATAAAATGCATATGTACTAAACAGTTTCCTTTTGTTTTACTGAGTTATGGCTATTATATATTTCATATGGTATGTGCTCAGCATCTGTTGCTGAAGTGAGTTCCAGGTCCTGATTGGTTTTCTTACTTATCAAAGTTATTTAAGGTATTATTATGTTTCCCCTTCGAAGGAAGACATACTGTGTTTTAGTACTTGTTCTTCTGGTTCTGATTCTTTGAATATGATCTTGTCCGGGCCGTAGCTCTTTAGCCGTTAAAGACATCTAAATGAAACCTGCAGTATATATATATATATATACCTGCATCACCCGTAGACGATGTGCAGTGCAATGTCATTTGGTCATTGTGACCTTGACCCCAAGGTTAAAAGCTCCTGTAGTCCTGGTTCTTTTTATATGATCTTGTCCGGGCCGTCACTTTTAATACGTTACAGAGCTCTTGATGAAACTTGAAGCATATCTGCATTACCCAATGAGGGTAAATTGATAAAACGTAGCAATTTCTTCTCGGAGAATCTATATATCTTAGCATTCCTTATATTGTGGAACTGAAGTGTTGATGTTTATAGATATTTTGTTATGCATTAAATTATAACAGTTTATTTATTTTGAACGATTTTCGGAGTTAACTCCAATAACATGTATTTCAGGTTTAGACGAAACTACAAAAAAGGGTAATGCATCCACACACAACCAAACCAAAGCTGATCCTGATTCAGGTAAGTAAATCTGTCTGGCGTAGTACAGATGTCCAAGAGTATCCCATTAGTCACTTATGTCGAATGTTTGCTCATGAGAGGAGGGCATTGTTTTTTTCCCAATACCAAGACATACCAAAGTCCTTTGGAATGGTAGCGGTTACTACCAGATTAACATACATCTATTAGGGAAATGAAAACAACTGGTTCACCCGTTTCCAGTATAGTGCGAACAGGTTACCTTCGGCTTGGTATTTCAGGGAGGTAGGGCTCTAATCGGCATCAGATTCTCGCTATCGCAAGGGGGCAAATACATCAACCTATACACATGAATGAATAGGACGTTAAACCCAATAACACAGAACCAAACCTGAACAGAACTGATGGCATTAATTTTGATCAGAAATTGGCAACTACTGTATTATGTAAAAAATAGTCATTATGCATGCTTAGTGTTATCATATTTATGTTAGAGAACTTTATACAAGTTACA